TCACTTTGGGCTTACACGTTTTATTTATTTGGGTTAATTAAAAATGAAATCCTTATTTTATTCCCTTTCAGAAATGTTCAGAGAAAGTTAAGTACTATTAAAAGTATTTCGCTAATTTCTAATAATTCTCTAATTTAAAATGAACCGAATAGAGCATTAATTATAAATTGACTTATATTTTTCGATTTAAAAGATGACTCAGAAGCCAAAAAATAATGTCATATTTAAGAAAGTATTTTAGGAAGAAGCTCTATAAATAGAAAAGAAATAATGCATAATTTTAATATTAATAATACAATAAACTTTGATCTTAATTTTTGTACCTTAACCGAATGAAATCGAATTACCTTACATTTTTTTTCTAAAGTAATTAACGAAAACTTGCGAAAATACTTCATTCAAATTAGACCATTCTGAGAAAACTATTCTGTGAAAAGTATAGCCTTTAATTCCGTTCAGAATGAAATGTTGTTTAAAAATATGTTGTTCTCATATACTTAGGACTCTGAAGAAAAAGAAAATATATACATTTATATGTATATTTACAACGTAATTACAAAATATTTACATCCGATCGCGTCAAAACCCATTGAACTTAATGGTAAATGACCCAATGTTTTGGTCACCACGTAGGGATCGCCACTGCTTCAGAGCAGGGTACGGGAGAAACCTGTTTAGGGCTACTTCATCTTACTTCCTTCCTCCATGTTTCAAACAGCCATAAAAATTAATCTGTTGTTATTAAGCTGCATTTTTAAATAAAAACATAGGTGAGATATTTAGTAATGGACTTCAGTTCACGATAATTCAGATAATTTACAAGAAATATAAACGTTGTTAAATAATTCGCAGAACAAGACTGCTGCCAATCTTAGGAAAAAAAAAAAAAAAATTCTGGCAAAAGAAACAAAACGTTCCAACCAACTTCTTTTTTTCTTTTTTTTTTTATGCGAGTTTGAATTCACTGACATTACATAAGCTGTTTTGTAAATATTGTTCTTTAATGCCATTTTTAACTTAGTTCCTTCATTTCTAAACATGTTTATTTTTTCGCTATTGACAGTGTGCTCTTTTTGTTTTGCTTATACTAAATTCATTTACTTAACTGATTCTTCAGATTAAACTGCTTCTAAATGTAGATACTTTACTATTAGTAATTTTCTCTCAACCCGAGTGTTACGCGTGCATTATTCCTCTCTCCTGTGTTTTTTTTTTTTTTTTTTTTTTTTTTCTCTTCTTAACTGACCTCGAATTAACCGTGATTTAAGATAACTGAAGCAGTCGTTCCTAGTGTTACCCTGGTTAATTGAGAGCTGAGTGTAACTAAAACAGGCTGTAAGCTATTTCATTCGCATTAAAATTTTGTTACTTTTTACAAAGAATATTTATTATTTAGAAGTACTGAAAATATTAATTCCTGAGAAAGATCAAATAATCAAACTACTTTTATTTCTTTTCGTTCACAAATTTTCTGTATTAAATTTCCTCTTTGCGGAAAGCCAAGAGTCCTTGCTTATCGATTTGTTCGTATGGAATTACCGATTAAACATCCGGTCGATGAAACTATATCGATTTCTTTATGTATGAGCATTTACTTCTGATGACGTAATAGGAAAGGCTCTCGCAGAACATTTCTGAACTACTAAAGAGATTCCACTGGATGTTTTCATGTTTCAAATAATGGGTGTTGAGATATTGTTTCTGATGACAGGAAAAGAATAAATTGCTCTAATTAAACTAACACATTTATAAATTCTTTATAAATAACAGGACAGCAATGTGAAATTTAAGCAAAATTCAATTCGAGGTAAAATAATCTTTTAAGAGTGATTGATCATATTTCGTTTTGTGCGATAGATGGCCTTAGAATTGCTGCTTCCTTTAGCTTCCGTACTCTGTTTTGCTTATTTGATGTAACTTTGGTGAATTGCGCAGAGTGATTAGTGAAAGTTTCCCATTAAATTCAGACTTTTTTTTATATAAATCCAGCTTCAATATAAAGTTAGATTTTGGTTCATTTTATAATAGCTCATAATTTTTTTAAAATTGTATAAAAACTTTGTTGCTGTTTTCTTTGTTTTTCAAATTAGAATTTTCTTGATAGTTTCAGTTTCAGAAATTTTTCAGGTTATTTTAAAACATTGTTATATTTCATAATGTAAAGCACAGGAGTGAGGGAATAAAATTTTTTTAAATTGGGATTTTATTATTTTATCTAGATTCGAGAAGATAAAAATATTGCTGTATAATGTTAAACATGGTGATTTAAGATTTCTATTAAAAACCTTTATCCCAGCGTCGATAAACGATAAGCTTCTCAAGTTCACCCATTCAGATGTTGCGACTTAATTTTTATTAGTTGAAAGGGGCTTTGTCCCTGAAGGACTGTTGTTTTCGTTTTGCGATTTTGCGTTGAAAACTTTAAAAGGCTGTATCACTTTTCAAATCATTGCTGCCAAATACTATCGCTCTGGATTATATTTGAAGAAATTAAATAATGAAGAATCTGCATAAATGTATGTATGTTTCTCGCACTGTGATAAAACAACGGTACCTAGAGCCATCAAAATTTTAATAACGTAATCTTCCATAGAATATGGACATGTAGAAGCCCTAATTTGAAATTTGTTTTATTATTGATTTCATATTTTGTAACACTTCAACGAATTTTTAATTAAAAAACTAAACGATTTCAAAGTGAGCAATGGCAACACTGTACAAGGGGGGAGATACCCAACTAGCACAAGAACGTTCAGAGCAAGTGCTTCACAAACGTGTCGGGAACGTTCAAAATGCCGTCTACATGTTACAGTTCTAAGACGGGTAATAACACGTCAAATACTTGTGTTTGTAACACTTTCATGCAACGTGTCATTAACGATCTAGTACAACGTTTTTGACACGTTTTACCTGAACGTTCTGAACCACGTCTATGTATTGCAGCTCAATAACGGACAGTAGTACGTCAAAAGTGGTACTACTTTCACTTTTTTATAACGTTCTATGAATGTTCTTCTAACGTTTTAACAGAACGTTCCTTTAACGTTCAGGCAGAACGAGGTGAATCACGTCAGTATGTTACAGTTCAATAACGGGTAGTAGAACGTCAAAAAATGGTGTTACTAACAATTTTATAAAACGTCCCTTGAACGTTATATGGAATCTCCGTTACCTTCTAACAGAATGTTCCTTCAACGTTCTAGCAGAACGTTTCTTTAACGTTCAGGCAAAACGTTCTGAGTTACGTCTGTAAGATGTAGTTCATTAATGGACAATAGAACGTCAAAATGTGGTACTAGTGATAATTTTATATAACGTTCCTAGAACGTTCTTTGAAAGTTTCTATAACTTGCTAGCAGAACATTCTCTTAACGTTTGGGCAGACGTTCTGAATGTCGTCTATAGACTAAAGGTTTATGACGAGCAATACCACGTCAAATACTTCTACTGTTAACACTTCTGTATAACACGCAAAGAATGTTCCGAATCACGTTTAACTAGAACGTTTTGAGTTACGTCTAACTAGAACGTTCTGAATCCGGTCTATATGTTCAGACTCTGAAGGACAACAGTACATGAAATATTTGTGTTTGTAATACTTGCGTTTAATGTGAAACTTAGTTTCCAAATAGTGAATTCATATAATGATTTACATTTCTTTAACGGAAGAGAACACTGCAATTTTCTGGAAAAGACATTATCTGTTTGAAGAGTTGAGCCTGAAATGTTACATTTACAGATATATGCTTTTATGCTTTATATGTGCATCAAAATTCAAATTCTATTATTTTTTTTGTATTCTCTTAGTTCATTACATACATGCCATTTATTAATGAAACTTTACACTTTTTCTCTACATTTACATGCAATTCCTCCAATGCAATATTATCTAGACCTTATATTCCCATAGAAGTTTTACACACCATTCTTATTAACTACATATAAAAACAAGATTTGTTACAGTTATAATGAGAGAGTTTAATAAATTAACCAAGAAATTAAGTTATTGTTCTCACTGGAAGGAAAAGGAATCAGACTGCAAATCACGATTTTTAATATATGGCCAGAATCATTGCAATTTTCAAAATTCTGAAACCTTATTCATGTGATCATATACACCAAACTATTTTAATGGGAGACTGTATTATATTCTGGACGAAATAATTATTTCTTATTAAATATAATCCTCGGATATGCCAGTTTAATAACTGTACTTAAACTTTATATGAGACTACTGCTGTCTAGAGTTTTTGTCATTGCAGTAGACTAAAAGCATCAGGATGATGGGAATTTAAAGTGAATGCTTGGATATTTCTTGTCATTAAAATAAATTTAAAAGTTTGTATTAAATGTATGAAAATTTTAAAAATAATAAATATTTTTCTTGTGTTCTGTTTACAAGCAATTTAACTTTAATAAACAGTTCTCTGTTAAAATTACTTCTGTCCATGTAATTTTTTTACAAAGGCGTATTTTGAAAGTTAATAAACAAATAAAATGACATATATCTTTCACAAATTCATTATTTTGCCATAAATTTGATTTATAAAATTAGTTCAGTGGATGGTCCAGTCAATGGATAAGGTTCTTAACAAGCAATTTTCAGTTAAAATATAATTATTATTGTCATAATTTAAAATTTGAAGCATTTATTGCAAAAGGTTTATAATTTAATTCAGCTACTAGGAATGCATTAAATTCCCAAAATCTATAAACTGATAGTTTTATATTATTTCATAAAATTTTAGAGCAAATTAAAAGTATTAAAGGAAATGTAATGAAATTAATTTCCATATTGCATATTCATGTAATAAATTTCTCTTCTAGAATCAAACATTCAAATTCAATGAACTAATTATTTTCATATTCAGTAATACAATGTATAAGATACAATATTTTCTTAAGCTAAGTATCCTCTACCAATCTAAGTCTTCATGAAAGTTAGGAAACAAATTTAACAATTAATAACTTTAATTACAGTATTTTCGTACAAGCTAATACACAAATTTTTTATTCCATTGCTTACAAACTTCTTTCTGTTGTACATTTTCCTTTTTGTTTATGATACTTTTCTCTAAATGAAACACTTTTCAACCAGTCTTTTATAATATTTTCAATAATATTGCAAGGTACCTCTCTGGTGGCCCGATTTTCTTTGAAAGCACCTAAAAGAATAATAAAAAAAAAAAAATTTAAAACTAAATAATCAAGAAATAATAAATTTTCTCAAACTTTAATAAAAGCGATGCTGTTTCATCCTATGGGGTCGGTTTAATGTAAAATTATGTTATCTTGAAATAGTACTATTGAATAATGCTTCAATTTGAGATTTCGCCGTTAGAGTTGATTTTAAAAAGATCAAAATTTTAGATAAATTTCAATTTTTCAAAAATTAGATAATTGCAAATTGAACTGTTATTTAGAAAACGGGAACTAATAATGTAATGGAATTAAGAAATAGGATTTTTTAACAGATTATTTTTTGTTAAAGATTTTGAGGTTTGCAATACAAATACCTCATTTTTTCGCATTCTCAGATAGCATTATAAACAATAAAAAAATGAAATTTGTTTCCTTGCCAGAAAAGAAACGAAAATGATTATTTAAATCATGAAATGCTGGTCTAGTTAAAATATTTGAAAAGAAGGAAATGGTCATAAAATTATGAAATATTACAAACAAAAAATGTCGAATTGTGTTTCTTTCAAGTAGCTATTTCCCCATTTAGTTTCTCTAGTGAACAAGGGTAACATGTGCTGCAAAAGATTTTCGATTCTGGAGATTCGTTTTTCCTATTTTTCCTTTATTTCGGCACCGCACTTAAAGGTTCATATGAGTTACAGTCATGGAGTAGAAAAAATTATTTCATTGAAGGATGGCAACATATATTTTACGAACGAAAATAAGGAGCATGGATACTGTCACCTTGAAATGCTTATATTAAAATAACAGAATACAGTGCAACTATGATAAAAATTTAACTACATGTGCATATGCATGTAAAGATATATATATATATACTCTTTTAAAATAATTCTACTTTAATTAAACTTGGGAGATAATATAATCAATTAATCAATATTGTTTAGGAAATAAATTATTATATATATATATGTTATGTGTGTGTGTATGTATATACATACTATATATGTATTTTAATACGAATGTTAAGGAAATTAAATAGAACTTTGACTCACAAGCAAAAATATCTTACAATGACTCCCTAAATATTTTAAAATTTATTATACATATAATAAGTATAAATATAAAATTGAGAAATTTGATTTGAAATATTATTTGCTATTTACATTTTGCATATATGAATACATTTCAGTAATCAGAATAACTTTTTATCCTAGTGTTTCATTCAAATTAAAATTTAATTTAATATGAGAGATTTACAATTAATTTAAAATCAAATTACAATGTAAATTCAATTTAATATTAGAGATTAGTGCATTGATTAGTTAGAATTGTGTCATTATATGTTGTTAAATGTGCTTTATTTGTATTAAATTTGCGCAGGTATCTAATTAAACGTGAAATAATCTTAACAAAAAGTGAAGTAGTATTTAGTCATGAAAATTTGTCAACGTAAATGGAGAAATGTGTAAGTGAGAAAAACGTTTAATATGTAATTCTATTCATTCCTACAAATATGTATTTAGGAATTTTGGCACTCTTGTTTTAAATTGAATAAAGCATTTTACTATAGACTTTTCTTTTTTTAGAGCAAGAGACTTCAGGAAAGCGGAGTAGCCAAATTTTGGGGCAACAATTACATCTATTAATATAACAGTAGTGCTAAAGCTATTTCATGATTCATTTAATGAGTGCTTATGATTTTAAACCTGTGATGGAGAACAACTACAAGAAGCGCAACATAATACTTACTCATTAGATTCTACTAAAATAGATCTGATCAATTTTAACCACAAAAAACTTTTAATAAGCAATGCCATATATATTAATATATATAAATTGAAAAGCTAACAAGTAATTTGACGTAAGACCTATTTGGTGTTAAAATTTTTTTTTGTGCAAAATGCTGCAAAATTATGAAATAATAGGAAGAAATATTCTAGTGAACTTGCTAAAAAGTTACCAGGAGCTGTGGCTCCATAAAATAGTTCAACGCAGTATTTTTTAAAATATTAGCATGGAAGTAATTTTAAGAAAAATATTAACATGGAAAGGTGAAAAAACAGCCTACACGCGAAATAAAACTGTTAGAATCAATGTTGGAAAACATGTGAATGCACTAAAAACTAATCTTATCGATGTGATATGTGAAAAGTTAACACATATAAAAAAATAGATCGACGAATATAATCTATACATATGTATATAATTAATAAATATAAAGTAAAAAATCAATATGGGTTATCCTAGAAATGACTGACGGTTTTTCAAAGTTTAAAAGTGAAATAGCAAACAAATTATAACACTTACTAAAATTAATTTTGTAGAAGATTATTGGTAAAGAATTGTTTTTAGCACCAAACGTTGCCAACAAATTGCGCTTCAATTTCATATATCGTCAGATATGTCAAAATGCTCTCGAAATGGTCGCCGTTTAAAGCAATCATTTTCGAGATTGAAATACAAAATTAACACGCTCTGTAATGTCACTATTTGAATTTAATTAAATTCACTTGAAGAAAAATATACAATCCTTGAAAAAAACATTGAAATTTTTTTGAATATGATTAGAATATGGTTAGAATATGATTTTTATGTATTTTGAAATCACGATTTAGTCTCAAAGATCATGTTAAGTGAAATATTGGAAGTGAGGGTATTTTTTGATTTTAAAATTTTAATTTCCAAATGTACTTTTAAGCAATCGCTTTTGAACTTTCCTCTTCCTTGCATATATATATACATACAGAGAGACATGTGAATTCAAACAAATGGAGTTAATATAAACCTAAAATGATGAACTCTGTAACAATAAGTCACAAATCAAAAGAATGAATCAAAAACATGGAAAACAAAATTGGAGCAAAATTAAATCAATACATAAATAAAACAAAGTTCGCACGAAATTTAAAGAATTAAAAAATATCTTAGGTCTTTGTCAAAGAGCAGCCGAAAGAAAGTAGAATTATAAACAGAGAAATCAAATTATATCTGGATGAATTGTACAGGTAATCAAAGAGTCCTTTGAATTAAAAGACCAAAACCTTAATTCATAATTAAAATTTTTCAAAAAATTTAAAACTGTTTAAAAATTATTTAATGATTATTTAAGGATACTCGAATATAACGAAGTGTACAAGTGATATCTGCTTAAGGGAGGGAATGAATTCGTGGAGGAATTTCTAAGGAAAACTGGCTCGTATTCATGCTACTCATGGGAAAACCAACTACGCAACAAAACCGTTCGTCTGGAATAGAAGCCAAGACGAACTCCCAGTCTTCGCTAGTGTTATACATTTAGCAACCGATGAGGCAAATTAAAATAATGATAAAAACTGCAAGTATCTGAAATCAGTATTTATTACGATATCACTTGCTCCGATGTGACTCAAAATCGAATACATAAATGACAAAATAGACTAGACTCGCCTTTTGAAGTATTTTTTAACGCGCCTTCTTTAGAAGATTTTGAAGAATAAGTGAAAGCATATTTATTAATTTTAAATTAAAATTTTTTTTAAAAATTAATAACTTGGAAAATAGGAATGACATAATGTACATGAAAAAAAAAAAAAAAAAAAAGACACATGCGGAATTTAAAACCACAGAGAAGGCAAAGCTGGCCAAATTTTGAAAATATGGACTTTTACTGTAAACTTATTATGAATTCAAAAAAGATTAATTAATTTAGATCGTGAAAAAATAGCTAATAAGCAAAGTTAATGCTGAGGAATTAAACATAGCGCTAAGTGTCTCTGAAATGAACATTCTTGAAAAATAAAAGTAAATGACTAAATAGCTAGTTAATTTTTGACGTGATTCAAAATTAGTTACCCAATATATAAAAATATGAAAAAGTCAACACTTTTTTGAAAAGAGCAAATTTTGTTAATTTGAAAGTTAGAAACTTTTTATATAAAATGTACTATAAAAGTACTACTAAAGTACAAACTTTTTATAAAAAGAACTTGAAAAAGTACAGTGACATAAAGCACAAGCCACCAAGAAAAAGAAAAATGTAGAATTCAAAAATCTTATAATAGACAAACGTTCATAATGTGAAATTGTTAAAATGCAAAATTTCAAAATAAAATTTAACTTTGATAAAGGAAAAAATAATCAGCAAGCAAAATTATTATAATGGAATTAAACATATAATTTCGATTTAATTATAAAAAAATAAAAACTGAAATAAATGATTAAAAACATCTTCTACTACTGTAATTAAATATAACTAAGTAAAGAAGCTTAAAATTAGTAAAATTAATTTACTACCGCATGAGGAAAAATTAAAAGGGATTTCTTTTTATTTAGCTATAATTTAATTTAGTAGGAGGTAATTCTGTTTTGTTTCTTGAATCTAAAATTCAATGTCTTTAAAGCCGTTTTTGGACTTAAATTCAACTGTAGCATAATTAGCTACAAAAATGCATACATTTTTCATTAGATACAGTCTCATCTTTCAACTCAACAGCATATTTATTGTTTAGAATCGTTAATCACATTTCTTATAGAAAACTCAAATCTTATTATTGAAAATTATATTTTTATTCAGATTTGTAAATGAAATATATAGATAGGCGTTTTTTTTAATTAAATTTAAACACAGTGTTAACATTCTGGAGCCTGATTCATGACTTCACTCAATGGAATTGAATTTGACATTTATATGGATCCGCAGGCTAAAATCTCTCGTTCAGTCTTCCTTTGAGCATCCATTATTTTTATATATGGGTAAGTTTTTAAAGAGGTTGTATTAAAATTCACAAACTAGCAAAGTATATTGAATATTAGAGTCTTACTATGAACCGTAATTAAGAATGTAGATATGATTTATTTCGGAGCGAAACTATTAAAACATAAGCTGACATAATATGCACAATTAATTAATTAAATTGCAAAGCAATAGGGCTAGCCTAAATTAAAGAGAGAATAAGGATAAATAATATTTTTTTAGAAAAATTAAAGTATGCTTAATACATTTTTCCTACGCATCAAAACATTTTTTTTTTTAAATTTCAATGTTTCAATTCAGAAAACAAATTATTTCAATTTTATGCTCTCGAAAAACTTCCTACCAATTAAATTAATATGGGAAAACAGACGTAAAAATCATTTGTAGAATACTTACAATATTCTCCCAGGACAACAATTTAAAAATTCTCTCAGGATGTATCTGGTTCTCTGTGTTCCAGAATTGCTCTTTTCATGTGACTTCTTTCTTTATACGAAGGCCAGTTACATGTCCCTTTTTATCATTTGACACTCATTTGCTTGGACGACAGCCACTTCATCGGTCATTAGCAAATGTACAACGCTAAATGCCATTTTCTGTGAATGTAATGAAATAAATCCGTAAATGTTCTGAGACTGAATTGAAGCAATCTTACTTTATATATGTAGTTAATTATCAACATTAAAAAGCTTGTCTTATACGAACTCAACCTTCCTGACATTCTGGGAAAATTCCTCCCTGACTTTCTGAATATATTTTGTATTTTCCATGGCAGTTTCTAAAATTTTCTAGGTGAGGGAAACTCTGTTAGTACACCTGATTAAAAACATAATGGATAACAAACATAATAATCCCTATATGCCACTAGCATATATATATACAGTTAACAGATTCCACTGATGTAGATTCTAAATTTATTGATAGTTCTGAAATTATAATGACACCTAAATTTAGAGAACTGAAAGGATGACTAAAATTCTTTTTGTTTATTAAATCTGTAAAAAAACAATTTCTTTTTCCGATGAATTTTCTAACAGATATTTGATTATTAGAACTGATTTGTCTATAAATAAACAACAATTATCACCAGTGTCAGCAGATATCTTAAATTCTGAGAGTTGAAACGATATATTTTGCTAATTTCACTTATTGATTCCTTTTCTTCGTCAAAACGTGTTTGTTAAGCATATCTGCGTGCAAGCTGCTGCAAAGGTTTTGAAAGAGCACAAAGCATATTTTTCAGTTCCCCCCCCCAAAAAGTTCAAATGTTTTCAACAAAAAGTGTCAAGAGGCCCAAATATTTGAACATCATTTATTAAATGAATCAAAGATAGAACATTATACATTAAATTATTAAATAAATATTTTCCCATGTAATCGAATACTGTGTTTAACAAAAGCTCTTAAATCATTTTCTGCAAATGCATCATTAGAGAAAGCAATATCTGAAGGCTTTATTAAAATAAAAATTTCCACATGTGTAGTAAAGAAAGTTGTTGTACATAGCAGATGGTAAAATTGAATTCATAACAACAGGCCTAGTGTATAAAAGAAATAAATGAAACTTTGTTGCCTTCCAACTCTGTATTTCTTAAAGCATTCTAGGTTTACGACTAAATTCGCTTGGTACGTAATGTCTTAGACCAATGTGAGAGATGAAGATATTTCATTTACATTTACATCGCTCCAGTGCAGTTCCAGTGATTTATTGAAAGTTAAAATTTTTACTTATTTATTTGTTTATTTATTTATTGCCGCTTTAGCTGGAGAACTTAAACTGCTCTAAAATAGTTATCAAAAAGTTAAAAAAACTAGCCAAAATTTCAGTTTTTAACTCTAAATAATAAAAAATGTCTATTTCATTGCTTGTGTAAATATAAGATATCTAATTCTCTTAGTGTTTTAATTTTTCTTTACAATTTAATGAAAACAGTACGTGCATAAAATACCAGTACTACATTTGAATAGTATAAAAATTGTATTTCTAAAGCCATAAACACAATCGTATATGCATGCAGATCATAGTTTCCAGCCTTGGAAAATCTTAAAAGACGGGAGATTTTCTTTAAAGACGGGTTTGCTCTAGAAAAATGAAAGGTTTTTCACTCTGCGAGGTTATACCATTTCAAAGAAATTCCAAACTCACTTTGATTCAGTTTATGATGCATGATGGTTCAGGTTACTATAGTACTTGTAATTCAATTTTGATGTAAGATGCATTAGCATTTTATTAGATAGTCTAAAATTTATGCTCTTTACTAATTTCATTTTTTTTTTTTTTTTTTTTTTTTTATTTTCTCGCTTTTTTATGCTGAGGAAATCTTCAGTAGTGAAGCAAAGCTTTTATTTATCAAAGTATTTTTAAATATACGATGCATGTGAAATTAATAATTAACATACATAATAACACTAGATAAAATTAGTAATATGCCAGGTACTAAAGTAAACAAAATTAAACACGAAAATTAACTAATTAAACATTGCCTAAATCTTCACATAAAAATCTACTGATGTCTACAGCAGATTAAAACAACTCAGATTAAACGAAATCCGATAAGAAAAATTTATTAAGGTCAATAAAATTAATAAAAAATACAGTTTTGTGAAATAAAGTTTAACAAGAAAAATTATTATGAAAATCATTACAGGTGGACGAATACAATTCGCCTAATTAAAAATTTCATTATTTTGATAAATTTCGTTTTTTTTTTTTTTTTGCTGGGAAAAATTTTCTTTAGTAAAGATTTAAATTTCGAGACTTTAAAATCTCGAGATTCGGTAATTTACCTTGAGATGTGATGAAAAACTGGGACTGAGTTGAAAACTTGAGTTGGCAGCTATGATAAGTTTGAGATCAACATGATTATAGCATTTGGAAGATTTTAGACATATACAAAACAATTTTAGCAAACTTTCATTATTAAAAATACGATTAAAAATGTGAAAATATGCATACTTACACTTTTAGTAGAGCGGATAAAACAAAGACATCAATACTTCCCTTCGATCTGGAATAATTTTAGCGGTGTTCTTGATGACCTCAAACCCCGGTCTTTCGAATCGTTCTTCTTTAAGAATGACTGAGGTCAGAGTCAGCCGGACGTCAGTAATTTCAGGATTTGATTGGTTACATACGTTTTTTGGACCGCAGGGCATGCTTTGAGGGAGAGTACTTTGAGGGAAAAAAGTGATTTCGTCCTTGAGAGAAATAGTGCTGTGGGACAACATATGGAGAAGCGGAAAGAGCTCCAGCCTAAAGTCTTCTGTTCTTCCATAAGTCAAGTAAGATGATAAAAAAGTAAACGTACAAAAAAAAATTTTGTTTTGATTAATCCATCGACCAAAAATTAAAAATGTTTTATTAGGCACTTTACAATTTACAACACATTCACTGCAGAGACGTTTTGGCTTTTATAGTGTTTTTATACGGTAATAGTTTAATAGTTAATCAAAAACGGAGGTGTTAATTTTAAATTTTTTCATTAAGTCGAGAATTTAACTAGCAGATTTCCTTGCAAATGATATAAGTTCCACACATTGCAAAAGTTACTTTAATTTCAAAATTTAATCAGATAATTATGGCAGAAAACCAACATATTTTCGTATTCTCGTCGACATCAACAAATGTTTTTATAATTTTAGAAAAATTATCATAGAAAAATGACTATGATGAAATATTTTATATCTGGTAGTAAACAAAAGTTGGTTAAAAAGTATATTCGAATATTTTGAAATTTGTCCAATATATCTGGAAATTAAGCTGATCTTCATGATTGGAAGGTAGTAGGAAATTTAAATCCATTAACACAGAAATATTAGAGTGCCCTTTCCCGAGTTTAATTTAATTTATTTATTTATTGGGCATGTTCGTGTGTGTTTTTGAATTCTGCATCTGAATGCTTCACGAGAAAGCATCCTTTTTCTTAGCTTTCTTTTTAAATGCATTGTGAAATATTAAAAAGCATACATCTTTATTTATTACATCATAATGATATTTAAAGTAACATTAGTATTTCAAAGAATCCATAAATGCACATACGTATTTGATTTATATATATTAAACTATTCTTAAGAGACATTTATGAATATCATACTTAAACATATAAAAAAGATACCCTTCATGAACATACACTGTCCATGTGACACGTTTTAATGTGCTCTACTACGTAAACTTTTATACTTTGTTGTTGTTGTCGTGTCCATATTACATGAAACAATGGTTGCCAATGAGCTTATTCCGAAGAGAGGTTGGACTTCTATTTTCCACCCCAAATTTTGAGAGAGAGCATCCCGGGGATATCCCACTCCTCTCCCCTTCCACCAATCCCCACGAAATGACTTTCGGGTCGCCGCATATTTAGAGTGCCGCCATGCCGCACCGACACTATACATTTACAAACGTTCATGTCTTCTCCGAGATTCGAACCCGGGACCTTCGGTATCGTAGTAGGCTTCCCTAACCACTATACCGTCTAGGAGACACTTTTATACTTTCTTTACATGTAATGGAAACTGTTAATACCGGTAATTGACGTGCGATTATACGGATAAAAGGTGTAACAGATAGGCATAATTCAGAACGTTCTTGTAAAACGTTACTGACACCACCGTGAATAACGCCTGCTTTACATTTTCGGAACATGATCCTGTTATTTGTGTCATTGGTTACTATTTTTGAGTCGATTATATAAGTAACAGAATAGCAGGATCAGTTACGGTATCGTAGCATCATTAGGTTAAATCGATCCAGGAAACATGAAACACGTGAGGAAAAGAAGTCTTATATACTTTTTCTTTTAGGGTGACTTATTAGTATGAGGTGGCTCAGTCGAAAAATCCTGGTAGTGACGAATTGTTGTCTACCATCTTTTATTTCGGACGCCCCTTGTAAAGCTTTTTAGAACTCACGAAACAAGAAATCCGCAGTACTCTCACCAGGATTCGAATTCCGAATCCTCCGAATACGTATTAGCGTGCTTGCAGTTACACTACGATGGTATGCGGAAAGAAAGGGCGAAAAAATCTTATAATGTAAACAGAATAGCAGGAAAAACTGTTCTCCACAATTAGGTAAAACATATCGTATCGTTAGGGTCGGTTTAAGTAATTTTGGTAGTCCTCGCAAGCTGGATCATAGGGCCCCTTAACGGGGTTTCTCTTTTAAATTGCAATTTCTATAGTATGTTTAGATTATCACCTAATTTATTACCCTTCACCCTATTATTCTGAAATTAAAAATTGAAGTTACTTATGAAATATATTTTGTGCATCAACAATTTTCAAAATTACGTTGTTTTCCATAGCCAAATAGAATAGAAGCATAGTAAAAGAACTCTTCAAATGCGGCACTTTCTTCCTGTAAATTGCGATTTCTAATTGCAAACCTTTCTGCTGAATTATTTTATTAACTTTATTGCAATGAAAATAAGTATTAGACCAGATCGTAAGAGATAAATAAAATCTAAACACTGCAATTTATTTAACTAGATGTCTCACAGAAACATATGGAATTTCTTTTAAAATTTTCCATTAAAATATTTTAAAATATATATTATATTTTGAAGTTCTTACTTACCAATTCTAAAGAAGCATTTATAAGACTGACGAGTCGGAAGTCTTCTCGAGTGTTTTGCTGGCTAGGAAAGAGAGGTGAGAGTCCCTCGGAGTGTTCTCCATCAAAACTGCGACGAAACTTTTCCCTTTCTCACGGCAGAAGATCGGTCGCACTCACAGCAAAGTTCTCGGTGATGGAATGGCTAAATAACTGATGAAGACTGGCCATTCCTAAGAATGTATTACGTTACGAATGCCCGGAATTTGAGAGACTACAGCTTTCAGTTCTCATTTCTCAACTAGTTTCGCAGATTGTTTTCAGCGTGAATTGTACATGACTATCAGAATTTTTCGCGCTACTTAGATGCAAAAAATAAAATTAAAAATCCCTGCCTTTTACGAATAAATAAATAGTGCAATCATTCCTGCTATGAGCATAACAAGATGTAACGAGTTTCTGTGTTTTCCTGAAAAATTCATGCATGTGTCCGACTATGTTTCACCTTCCATGTTTTCCATCATCATATATGACTCTACACGGCAATCTGCAAGGTATCCAAAGATCAGGATAAATAAAATTGTAATTTTTCCATGATACGTTACAGTTTCAAAATATCGAAATAATGCTAACTAAAGTAGAACGCACGTCATCACTCTTAAAATCACATTCAACTTTTTTTGACGTGAATTACGTCTAGCGTGCAATATAGAACAAATGAATAATCTTTTTTAAACATTATTTCCATAACATTGTGCAATTTTTATTTTGAATTTTATTTTCAATTGAATTATTTGGTTTACATTTCATATACCGTTGATACTCAAAGACATTTTCTAAGGATGCGAAATGACGTTATAACGATCATTAGCTTCATATAAATATGAAAATAATAAATTTCCCTGTTAATAAAAAGTTTTTATGCTTATACACATCATTTAAATGCACCGTATGTCATTTAAGTTAAAATTTTTATGGCCATGTATAATTTAAATGGTACAGAATGCCTTCAGTTTAAACTCATATTAGCTATTAAGTTGGATATTGCAGGATCAGATTGCAATTTTTATGAAAATCTCATAATTTTTTATTACAAAAGAAGATATACAAATGTTTAACAGGTTTCGAATGCTGTTATATGCATGCAGACGTATTGTATGCAACAATTTAAAATACTGTAGTCGCAAAAGGATTTTTTGAGTATTGTATTTGAAATTTTATATGTGCACGTTTATTAAAAATATAAAGTCTTTATAGATTTTATTACACTGCACCATTTAAGTTAAGTTTTTCTTTCTTTCTCTCTTTCTTTCTTTTTTTTTTTTTGGGGGGGGGGGGAGGCGATAATTTTATGTGGATATTTTAACAATAAATATTCTTAAAATATTTTATGGTAAATTTTAATTAATTCTATGTGAACATTTATATAATAGTAATCAAATATTTGAACATATAGGTTTGGTTTCTAAACAATAATCAGCGTTATTTTAGCCAGTTTATTAGAGAAAAATCTTCTTTTTAACCACCATGTTGCCAGAAAGCTATTTTTCTTTTGTTGAAGAAACACATAACTCGCTTTGTGTTGCTTCATTTGAAACTCGCTTCATTTGAAATTTTCATCGCTAAGTAGAGCAGTATGCACATATTTAAAATAAAATTATTCTTGAATAAGAGCATATTCTGTTTCATAATTAACGTTTGGATTAGCGCATGTAGAAAATATTTATTTACTTTGTTGAACTAATTAATTACGGATACGAAACAAGTATTTTTATAACTCCAAATATTCAGAGTTCTAAAGTACTTGGTACTAGATATTAAATTCTGAATTGAAAATCTGGGTAGTTCTTTAAATCTTTTATTTGTAGGCTAAATGTGATTATTGCTCTACAAGTGAATAAATTTTGTACATACCAAGTTTTGTTTCATCAGAGATAACAGTGCTAAGTGAAAAGTAAAACATTTTCTGTTCCTTATAAACAGTATACAAAAAACGGTTCTTTGATGATGATAATAATAATAAGAGTAAGTACTGAAAGGATATAGTTATAAAGGGAAATAAAATGCACTTTTAGATTTAATTGAAAAGTTGTAGAAATCTGGAATTGATGAACTTCACAGTGTTATAACGAAAACCTAAAGTTCTTAATCATCGAATATCTTGAAACGATCCAATTGCTGTTTTATATTGGCATTTTGGGAATGGACGTAAACATTATTGTATCCGTGAAAAGGAAATAATGCGGTCGGTAACCAGAAAGATCAGTTTTATTGTTAACAGACGTGGCCACAGGCGAGGCACTTGGCGCCCCACGATGTCTTGAAAGCTAGTTTGAGAATGGTCAAAAGCAGCGGGAACCTGAGGCCTTTCATCCAAGTTCGGTGTAAAACTTTGAATCCTCGAGAATGAGTCATAGTCACAGGGTAAAAATTTTAAGGAAATCAAAAACATTTGCTCATAGACTTCTGCGAAAAAACTTTTGGAAGTAAAGTAAAATATTATTTTCCATGTTTACCGAATGTGCATAAGCTTTGCACGCACGATTGTTCAAGAAGTTAAGCGTTTTCAAGAATACTTTGTTTACATGTTATTG